AGGCGGGATGGCACACACCTGTAGTCCCAGCTACACGGGAGGCTGAGGGAGGAGAATCGCCTGAGCCCAGGAGTTTGAGGTTGCTGTGAGCTAGGCTGACGCCACTGCACTCTAGCCCAGGTGACAGAGCAAGACTCTCTCAAAAAAAAAAAGAAAAGAAAAAATCAGATAAATCAGTAGTAATGAAAAAAATCTTAAGGCTTGATGTTCTGCTAGGGAAAGATTGTGAAGTTCCTGAAACTGATTTGGTAACATCATCGCTATAGCAGTTGTTATTTCTAGTTTTTTAATGGTAATTTAGTTTGAGATTTAAAATTAAGCTTCCTCTTGGGATTCTCAGGGGCCTTTGACGTGGTCACCTTGCTACCGTAACTCTCAAACGGCAGTGGGACCAGCAGAGGGCCTGCCCCCCGGAGGGTCTTCCTCTGTCCTCCTGTGGTGGGGCTCCCTGTTGTTAGAGCAGCGCCCCACTTCTCGAGTGCCTGGTGCTGGGTGGTCGGGGGAGGCAGAGGCAAGGACAGTCTGTTTCCTCTCGAGCATCCTGGGGTTCCCACGGCGGCAGGCAGGGGTGCAGGAGATTGGTGCAGACTGGCTGTTGGGGGTGAGCTTTGTCCTCACACCTCTTGCTTGTCTCCTACTAAGAGGCCTTGTCTTTTGGCTTGTATACCTAGTATTCTACGAGTGTGGGTACAGGTGCCTCTGGCCAGGATCCCTTCTGTGTTGCTACGAGCTGTCATCTTCCGAGTCAGGGTCCTCTTTTGTTACAGACGTGCCACGGTGCGGACTTGCTCCCCTGCTTTGAGACCCTCTGACGACGGGTTCCTCTCACGTTGCGCCCATTGCCTCTCTGCCCACATCCTGCCTTGCTGACCCGCCGTCTCCGTGCTCCCTAGGTCTCCATCGCGCCGCGGACTAACGCCGCTCTGGGCTTTGCTCAGATGCTCCCCAGGGACCAGTATCTCTTCACCAGGGAGCAGCTGTTTGAGCGGATGTGCATGGCCCTGGGTGGCCGCGCCTCAGAGGCCATCTCCTTCAACAAGGTCACTTCCGGTGAGGAGCTGGCCCCCATCGTCCCTCTGTCCCCACCTGTGAGGGGGACATCTGATGGAAGAATTACGTAGTGTGATGCAAGTGGAGTTTTGAATTTTATTAAGTGTGTTTTAAAAGATGAGCAGTGGTTAAAGGAGATTTGGAAAATAAGCAAAACTTAAAATAATTTCACTGGGCAAAAATGTTTACGTGTATGCAGACCATGAATGCATTTAATTGGTTAGTTATTGGTAATGACTGCATAGAGCTGGAATAAATTGAAGCAGACTATTCTCAAGCTGTTACTTCACTGGGATGTTCAGAGAGGCGAGAGCTTCCCGCACTCCCGGGATGGCCATGGAGCGAGCCCCGACGTGTGTCCTGAGTGGCTGACCTTTAGACAAACGAGCGTTTCCTAGAGCTTTAAGGCGCAGTCACAGGTGCGGTGTCTGGCTGTCTGGCACTGCAGGGCGACTCTGGGGTACAGTGCACAGGGGGCGAGCTGCTGGCCCCAAGGTCCGTGACAGAACTTCGGGACTGGGCTCCTGTGCGCCTCTAGGGCTGAGGGTGCCCTCCGTGACCCAACACTCCAGGGGCCCAGGACGACCTGAGGAAAGTCACCCGCATCGCCTACTCCATGGTGAAGCAGTTCGGGATGGCACCTGGCGTCGGGCCCATCTCCTTCCCAGAGGCACAGGAGGGCCCTGCAGGCATCGGGCGGCGCCCCTTCAGCCAGGGCCTGCAGCAGATGATGGATCACGTGAGTCTGTGGGGCCTCCCGGTGCACCCCTGCCCACGGGGAAGGGGCGTCTGGTCTGCCACGTGAGGGCCTCCACTTGCTCAGAAGAGGCCCAGCGGCTCCCAAGCAGGGAGCTGGTGCAGGCCAGACGTGGGTTTTTCCTCCTGGGCTCTGTCGTAGCTCTGACCTGCTGAGTCGTTTCTCTGGGTGAGGACCTAGACTCGCCTCATGAGATCGTAGGTGTGGATCTGGGAACAATCTCAAACGCACCGAATGATGGAGCCCACGTGGCCCTGCCCACGGGACCATGACAGTGTCGGTCGTGTGCTCTTGCAGCAGCCGTGGGTGTGGCAGAGGCAGACAGGGCCACCTCCAGGAGGGGCCTGCAGGGTGGGAACGGCATGGGGCAGGCTTCTTGAACCACCATTCCCAGCACTGGGCGGCGCAGCAGGAGGCTGTCTACCGGCAGCTGGGATCTGGTCTCACCAGAGGGAAAGCCTCACTTCCCGAACCCACGTCTCTTTTCTGTACTTGGCACTGGACCCCGGCTGGAGATGAGGCGCCTGTTGATGGTGGCCCTTGGCCTTGTTCGTGACCGTCTGCTCCTTCACCTGCAGGAAGCGAGACTGCTGGTGGCCAAGGCCTACAGACACACCGAGCGGGTGCTGCTGGACAACCTGGACAAGCTGCAGGCGGTGAGGCTCGGCTGGGGCGGGGGTGCCGTGGTACGTGGCGCTGACGCAGCGCTCCCCTGCCCACCCCGGCGTGAAGTGTTTCCCGTGTGCACAGAGTATAGAGTACAGGGGCTGTCAGTTACCCCAGCTCCACGGGAATCCTGCGTTTTCCATGCTTTTTACCATAAACACGTCAAGACAGTTCCCTCAAAGCAGCCAGAACTTCATAATTCTCTTCTACCCGCATTAGCAATTATTTAATGTTTTGTCAGTTTTGTTTAATCCTTTTCTAACTCTCAAACTTTTTCAAGTTTTTTTTAAATAAATTTTTTATTTTATTTATTTATGAATGAATGAACGAATGAATGACAGGGTCTCACTCTGTTGCCAGGCTGGAGTGCTGTGGTGTCATCATAGCTCACTGCAACCTGGAACTCCTGGGCTCAAGTGATCCTCCTGCCTCAGCCTCCCGAGTAGCTGGGACTCCAGGTGTGACTATCACACCTGGCTGATTTTTTTTTTTTTTTTTTTTTGTAGAGACAGGATCTCACTATGTTGCTCAGGCTGGTCTCAAACTCCTGGCCTCAAATGATCCTCCCAGCTCGGCCTCCCAAAGTGCTAGGATTATAGGCGTGAGCCACCGAGCCCAGCCTGATTTTTTTTTTAATTTTTAATTTTTTTTATTTTTAGAGACAAGAGTCTGGCTGTGTTGCCCAGGCTGGATGATGGAGGCATCGTCATAGCTCACGGCAACCTCAGACTCCTGGGCTCAAGCGGGTCCTCCTGCCTCAGCCTCCCAGAGTGCTGGGATGACAGGTGCGAGCCACCGCACTCACCAGTGCTTTATTTCAGAATAGTTTAGACTGACAGAAAAATCGCAAACATAGTGGAGAGAATTCCCTCGTCCCCTGCATCCGTCTCCACGGTAGTTCGCCCTCCAGCCGGCACACTTGCAGGACGCGCTCACCACCTGACGGACCAGCCTGGTCTCCAGCTGAAGTCCACACTTGATCCAGGTTCCCTCACTTTTCCCCTAAAGTCCTTTTTCGGTCCCAGGACCCACATGCTGTTTTGTTCACACCCCCTTGGGCTCCTCTCGGCTGTGACGGTTTCTTAGACTTTCCTTGTTTTTTGATGACTTCGGCAGTTTTGAGGACTGGTTTGGTGTTTTGTAGAATGTCCCTCAGTTGGGATTGCGGGTGTTTTTGTCACAATGAGGCTGGGTGGACAACCCCAGAGGAGGGGTCGCTTTGTGTCCCTAGGTTCTGATAACTGCTGCCCAGAGCTCGGTAGAGGTGGGCGGCTCCTTGTCTGTGTGGACAGATGGGAGGAGCAGTGGACGGGTGGTGGTTTCTTAGCTTCCTCTTACTTCATTAAAGTGAGGCCCTGCTCTCTCAGGCTGGGACTTGTGTGTTTTGGGGTCTTCAGAGCGTAGCCCCAGGCCAGCGGCACCAGCCTCACTGCGAGTGGTGAGCAGCGCAGCCTCAGCTGGGCAGCATCTGTGTGTTGACCAGGCCTCCCTGTTGCTAACCAGCTGCTCTGCAGAACGGGGGTCTCAGTGCTGTGGGAGCAAGGACAGGTGGGGACGAGGCTGCAGGCTGCGCGGCTCACTGACCGGGAGCAGTGTGTCTGCTGGGCTGTGAGCTGCCCACACAGTCGGTGGGCTCCGGTACGTAGCGACTGAGCAGCCCTAGGGCCGAAGCATCTCCCTCTTGCAGAACAGGTACGGGTGCATCGCCCCAGTTTCAGGGGTCACTGTTTAAATGCTTTGAAAACGGAGAAGCATTTTGCCTTATCGGAAACAAGCGCGGTGCACGGTGACCGTTCTCTGCGTTCGGGGCTGAGCTGTGGCAGAGCCTGCGGACAGGTAGTGGACGTGCCCGCCAGGGGTTTGCCGGCACCGTGTCTAGAGTGGCAAAGTCCCTGCCCCAGGTTGTGGGGTCCTCAGTGCACCCCTCTCCCAGACTCCAGTCGGAGGCTCTGCACTTCACCCCTCCCGTGCCCCGCAGACCACACACCCTGTTGGTGAAGAAAATTGCAGTTGCCAAAACTAAGCCGAGATTTTGAAGGAAAGTAGGAAAATTAATGATGCTGGCAGCTGGCAAGTCATTTGCAAGGTTGGGACGGGGCATCTGTGCCAGAGCTGCCTCCACCTCCACCTCCCTGGGAAGAGGCCTGTGGGAGGTATCCTGCTCCCAGACAGGCCCACGCGCCTCAGCACCACCTCCCCGGGAAAGGTCCTGTCCCAGCAGCTGTCTCTGTCCTGGGGATTCAAACACTGCTGCGTCTGTCTTTCCAGCTGGCCAACGCCCTTCTGGAGAAGGAGGTGATCAACTACGAGGACATCGAGGCCCTCATTGGCCCACCACCGCACGGGCCTAAGAAGCTGATCGCCCCACAGAGGTGGGTTGATGCCCAGAGAGAGAAACAAGACCCTGGGGAGGAAGCAGAGGCCCAGCAGCCCCTGCAAGGGGAGGAGCCGTCCTGGCCCAAGTAGGGGCTCCCTGACTGCACATGTGGGCCACCAGGACCCGAGCTCACTCAGCTGCTCCTGGGTTTATTTTCAGCTAAGATTTGTGCCTCCTCTTTTAGCTCTCAACGGTGTACGCTGAAGGGCTCCAGGGTTGATCTCCATATACGTGATTAGTTAATTTCTTTGCAGAAATGGCTGATTAAACTTTGCACGTGTGTAGTTTTCCCCTGTGGGGAAGGGCATCAGTGCTTGTCACAGGTGTGCACAGGGCACTCTGTTCCCAGCATGGTGGAGTGGGCCCCGAGGCTGCACAGCATTCAGAGCCTGAACAGACCCTGCTCGTGCCAAGGCTCCCGAACAGCCCGTCCCAGCTCCCATGGCTCCCTCAGAATGCCAGCAGGATCGAGATGGGAGGACCCTCCAAGCCACTCGTCCTCTTGTCCACTGGCTGTCACTGTGCCGACTCATCAGTGAGGTCACAGAGTTAGGACCAGGCCCTGGGCTCTGGGGGATTCAAACACTGCCACCTACCAGTATGTGGACAGGCTCGATTTGAAAACCTCTCCTTACTGTCTAGTTGGGACACCTTCGTTTTTACTGCTCTGAGAATTGTCGTGGTACTTTACTAATAAATTCTGTGGGTAGAGACTACATTTGTGCTGTCGGGCCAGCTTTAACCCAGAGGGCCAAGGGGATTGTCCTAGGTGACAAAGATCTTGTGTTTCCAGTTCATAATTTGAACCGACCAGGATTCCGTGGCCTGGACCCTGCAGGAATAAAGGACACAGGATGCCCAGCAGTGGGTGCGGCCGCCTGCGTACCGGGGGTGTGACACACACTTCCAGTTCACACTTCCTGCTGGCCTGCGTCCGCCCGCCCTCTGTGCTGCATTTGGAGGTGGATTAAGGTCACTTCCTGGCAGAATGGGCTGTTTGCTGTGGCTCCAGTCCTCGGGGCCCAGAGCAGGTGCGGCTGTGCTCTAGCAGGGCAGGTGCAGGTGCTTTCACACACCTGGGGATGGGCAGCTCTGGGAGGCACCGTGGTCTTTGCTTTCCCAAATTTATTACCAAAGACCAGCATCTGGTCAGGAGGTCTTTGGCTGGTGTCTTTGCCCTGGGGTGGCATCCTCTGCAGTTGTTCCAGAGTAGATATGGCCCAGCTGATCCCCCGAACTTACCTGCTGAAATGGCCTATTTCAGTTCATCCTTTGGAAGAGCATTTGCTGAGTGCAGAAGATGCCAGGCATGGTAAGGGCCACAGCACACGAGCCTTGGCCATCAGCCCTACGTAGATGGCAGACATTGTTAGCATGCTAGTTTTTACAAAGCACTATAAGAACATAATTTCTTTCTTTTTTTTTTTTTTTTGTAGAACACTATAAAATCACTTTGCTGCTATGATGTTAAAAAAAATCAAGACTGGGTGGGCGTGGTGATGCATGCCTGTAATCCTAGCACTTTGGGAGGCCAAGGCGGGAGGATTGCTTGAGCTTAGGAGTTCAGCAAGAGCAATACCCCATCTCTACAAAAAGAAAAATTAGCTAGTGCAGTGGTGCACGACTATTATCCCAGCTACTCGGGAGGCTGAGGCAGGAGGATGGCTTGAGGCCAGGATTTTGAGGTTGCTGTCAGCCAGGCTGACACCACTGCACTCTACCCAGGGCGACAGAGGGAAATTCTGTCTCCAAAAAATAAATAGATAAATAAACTCCACAACAATCAACACAGAAGAGGATGTCTGTGACCAAATACTGTTTTTTTCCCACACACCAAGCAGCAGACACCAGCTGGGTGTCCTCTAATTTAATTCTTATACTGTCTATCTGGAGATGGCGTCAGACCCCACAGGGCGAGGGCTCAGTCCCCAGCATGGCCCACCCTAGATAAGCTCGCAAGTCCAGCCCTCCAGAGCTTCTGACTGACCGGCTTGAAGTTGGGGTTCCCACAACGACCCCTTCCTCTGGTTTCGATTAATTTGCTGGAGTGACTCACAGAACTCAGGGAAACACGTTTATTGATTTATTATAAAGGATATCACAAAGCACACATGAAGAGATGCGTAGGGTATGGGGGAAAGGGTGTGGAGTTTCCACGCCCTCCCTCGGCACATCACCCTCCAAGAACCTCCTCACGTTCAGCTCTCTGAACCAGTTCTCTTGGGTTTTTATGGAGACTTCATTACATGGGCATGGTTGACAACCGTGTGGAAACGTGACTGGACAAAACAGCATATGATCTAGGTCCAGCAAGGCCTGTCTGTTCAGATTCTTCTTGGCCTCCCTGTGTATCATTCTTTCCTCCAGGGCATGAAGCAGGATCCTCTCAGACCCAAAATCAGATTAGAGTCCTGCCTTGGGCAGGTGATAGGAGGACAGGAGCAGGTGAGAGAGAGATTCTGTCTCCTGAGGCCTAAAGCACCCGAACACAAGGACTATGGGACTCATGTGCCAGGAACCGTGGACGAAAACCGAATATACGTATGACGCTGCAGATGGGTCTTGCTGTGTTGCCCAGGCTGAACTACAATGGCTTTTTATAGTTGCAGTCATAGCACACTACAGCCCCAAACTCCTGGGCTCAAGCAGTCCTCCTGCCTCAATCTCCTGAGTAGCTGGGATTACAGGTGAACACCACTGTGGCTGGCTTCCCAAAGCACACCTGAAGGGAAGCTGAAACTCAGGTAGAGATTAGAGCAGGTGGAGTTGCATGAGTGCAGGTCTGTCTAGGAAGATAAATTGGTGATGAGGACAGGAATGTCTTTATGAAGAGGAAGGTGTCTTGGTCCATGGTGGGAACATCGAAAGGGATCTTAGAAAGCCATGGGGCAGAGGGTGAGGCTAACATTAGTTATAGTCAAAGAAATCTGTCCTGGGCCAAGGCAAGTGTTCATTCATTTTTTTTTTTAAGGGGTCTTCCAGTAAGAACCAGAAAACCTGCTAGACAAATTCTAAAAGAGCTGTAACACTGGCAAGTGTTTATTCAACAAACATTTTCTCCAAAGTTATGTTGGTCCAGTTATGCTGCCAGAATGGAGTGGGTGTGGGGTCAAATGTTAGTTCCACTGGACGACGCAATTGGTGCAGGAAGCATGAAGGATTTTTCTCAAGGGTTTTGTGAAGATTTAACGAGAGATGGGAAACGTCTACTCACTGTTTCCTACCTTCTCTGCTGCACTGAAGGCCCCGCCTGGCTCCTTCCTGCGGGACGCAGAGCTGTGTGACGTCAGGACCAACCAGCATTTCCGACAGCATCACTGTGGTCTTAACAGAGCGCGTCCTCCCAGCAGCTCCTGCCATTTCACAGACAAATTCAAATAATTTGCCCAGACTCTCAAAACTAATACAAAGGTAGACTCCAGGGCAACTCCACAGCCCTCATTCTTACTGGCTTGTGGGCTGCTAACCTTCCAAATAACTTGTATTTGTGAAAAATGGGAAACTAAGGAGAGTTTAAACATTAGCTTCCAGGTGGATACCACTTGAATTTACTGAGAAATGCTTTTATTTACAGACTTGTATCCGCAAACAATTGTGCAGCTAAAAGAGCTGGTATTGCCCTTGTTTCATAATTGAGCAAATATCTGTTAAATGGCAGAGCCAGGGTTTTAACTTCCCATGTAGGTTCCACGCATTTGTCTGAACAGTGTGCCCCATCTATCACACATGTTCTCTGTTCTTTTTACATGTTATTTTCCTGATCGTGAACTTTTAATTCCTCAGTGAGTCCCAACCTGCATTTTCTAACACCCAAGGGTGTCATCATAAGGCCAGATCAGCAACCTATTTATTCGGTGCAGGACACAGGCCTCCAAATTTCTTATCTTTTGTTACGCAATTCTTAAAACTGTGGATTAAGTTTACCAGGGGGAAGGCTGGTGGTAGGGGTGGGGGCTGGGATTAAACAGGGTTACCGTGATGTAAAGGTTACAGACAGCAGAAAGTGTTGTCTATCTCCCGGATTCGTCCTGGAGACTAGGAGGTGACCGGGGCGCGGGACACGGATGTGTGCTGGCTACTTAACTGTTCTATGACGCCGTCTCTGTGCAGACAGGCAGGAGGGCCTCAGAGCCAAAGGTTAATAGTCGCTCCTACCTCACTTGGTGGTTGTGGGGAATTAAATATGAAAATGCATGTGGAGTACTGCATGCCCAGCTTATAAAAGACACCCAATAAATGTTAATTTTATCTAAAAAAAATAATAAAACAAATGATACAAATAGACGGGAGGGGAGGAAACGCTGGAACGAGGATGAAGAATTCAAGTGGCGCTAGCTCGCATTCAGTAAACCTTTCCTGCCTTTGCACGGCTGACGCACTGTGTCCCAGAAACGTGGACAGACTAAAATTCCCAGAACTCGAGGCAGGACTTCGCCGAGGTCGAACCGCCTGTGTTTTCCCTTCGCCTTAGGACGGCTGCACCTTAGTCTGCGTGTTACCCCGCGAAGGACGGCCCACGCAGGGCCTGAAGCGCCGGGGACACTCCCGCAGCTGTGAAGAGGACAGTAACAGACTGCAAGCAAGTAAGCTGGGCCGCAGCGCAGCGAACGGGCGACGCCATGTCCGCCAAGCCGGCGCAAGGGTGGGATGGCCACTTGCGACGTCACTTCCTTCTTTCCTGACTCTCATTGGCCAGAACGCTCGGGGCTTCTCATTGGTCGGGCCCACTGCCATCCCAGGGTGCATTGCGGCCCTGACTCCTTTCCGCTCGGCTGTTCTCCTGCGCAGGAGGTGAGCGCGCTCCGTCCCGGCTCTGTCGGGCGCCATCCGGCCCCATCAGGCATCATCCGGCTCCATCGGGCACCGTCGAACTCCTTCTGGCTTTTTCTACCGCCATCGGCCTAGCGTTGCGGCCGAAGCAGCCATGGAGGGGCCTCGGGTCCAAGCCAGGGCCTCTTTGACGGCGTCGGGTCGGGCACGGGGCCCCGGCTCCTCGGGCGCGTCCAGACGGCCGGGGCCGCAGGGCTCGGGGAGGTTTCCGGGGGGGCGCGCGCGGCCGCCGCCCGGCCCCTCACTCGCTCCCCTCCTCTCCCTGGCGGCCCCAGGGCCGTAGGCAGCCATGGCGCCCAGCCGGAATGGCATGATCCTGAAGCCGCACTTCCACAAGGACTGGCAGCGGCGCGTGGCCACGTGGTTCAACCAGCCGGCCCGGAAGATCCGCAGGTGAGCGGGCGCGGCGCGGGGTCCGCGGGCACGCTCGGGCCTGGCCCGCGGGGATCTCGTCCTGGCCGGGCCTTCGGTGGGACGGGGCGGCCGCGGGCACGCGGGGCGGGCGCCTTGCGTGGGGGTGACCGCGGCCGGGCTTCTCTTCGAACAGACGCAAGGCCCGGCAAGCGAAAGCGCGCCGCATCGCCCCGCGCCCCGCGTCGGGACCCATCCGGCCCATCGTGCGGTGCCCCACGGTGCGGTACCACACCAAAGTGCGGGCCGGCAGGGGCTTCAGCCTGGAGGAGTTGAGGGTGAGTGTGGGCGGAACCAGCGCGGTATCGGAAACGGGTCGGAGTTTTGCCCCCATGGGTCTCAGTCGAGTGATGACAGTCTCCGGAATCGCTGCACCGCGTTGATGAAAGCGCATTTGAACCCTTTTCCATCTGACGACTGAGCGTTTTCCTTGAGGCTGGGTAGGGGTGCGGGACTCCCGCGGCCTCATCCTTGCTGGGATTCGGGGGCAGGTGGCCGGCATCCACAAGAAGGTGGCCCGGACCATTGGGATTTCTGTGGATCCGAGGAGGCGCAACAAGTCCACCGAGTCCCTGCAGGCCAACGTGCAGCGGCTGAAGGAGTACCGCTCCAAGCTCATCCTCTTCCCCAGGAAGCCCTCGGCCCCCAAGAAGGGAGACAGTTCTGTGAGTATGGCGCCCGCGCCCCCTCTGGGGGGTGGGTGCGGTGGGGTGTCGGGACATGGCAGTGGAGAGGCTTGCTCCGGTTGTCCCTGTGTCCACCTGGGCTAAGAAGAAAAATTATTTGCCTGTCGTCATTTTTCATCCCCCAAGCGTGGCAGTTAAGGGTAAATAGTAAGGAATGGATGTGTTATTCATCAGAACTGGCCTGTTCTGTGGTGATCGTACCGGCCTGGAGCCAGCTTTTTTCCCACTGAAAGCATCCTATCCAAAGACTCTTCCAGAAACACCTTGTAGAACACGGCTGGTAGAGTCCATTGTATGGGTTCCTGGGAGCTGAGTTGGGGAACGGGTCTACTCTGCCTGCTCCCTGGGTCACAGGTTGGTGGCTCTTGCAGACAGGATGAGCCTCCGCCTCTACTTGCGTTGCTGAGTAGACAGACGGGACAGGAATCTAACAACGTGCTGTCATTTGTCACGTGGGGCTTGCAAAGCGTGGGGCGCCAGAGGTGCAGGCACTGGTTTCTTTTCCGAGGACACGGGTGGGTGAGTCTGGGGTCCTTAGGACAGTGAAGTTGAAGCCACTTAACTGTTTTCTTGTCAACGAGCAGGGTGAAGAACTCAAACTGGCCACCCAGCTGACAGGCCCTGTCATGCCCATACGGAACGTAAGTGCACACTCAGCTCTCCGTGCCGCGCCTTAGATGTGTGGGTGTCGACTGGGTGGGCATCGGGTTAAAGGGGGTGACACGGTGGCAGCTGCGGCGAGTGTGGAGATTTACAGGTTTGTGGAGAGGGTCATTCTTTTAGCTGTGGTTAGACCAACCCTGAATTCTTAACATGTGCACTTCACGAAAGATGTCCTGCTTTTCAGGAAGCCTTGGGGACCCTCGCTTGTCACTCCCCGGTTTGTTGGGTCCCTGTCGTTGCTGCTTAGAAGCTCAGGCCACAGGCCTGGGAGGTTTGACCCTGTGGCCTGCACAGCCAGGCCGGCCTCTGCCCACACATCTCCACGGGGAGGTGGCTGCTT